CCCTGGCTGAGCTGAGCGCTGGATCATTTTTGGGCCGCCCTGAAATGCAACTTTAATCTGCTGAAACTCCTTGATAAACGAGAACGCAGCTCAAAGCTGCTCGCTCAGCCGGCTCGGAGCCCCAGCATTCTGGATTTTCCCCCTCATTTGCTGGCCTTGCATGAAATAGATGGGGTTGCCTTTCAAAATGATTACTCATTCAGATTAGGCTGGTTTTTTTGTTTGTTTGTTTTTTTGTTTTGCGGATCCCGTATTGATTCAGAGGTCATTAATCCTTGCAATTGGGACATTGTCCTAGCATTCCTGTATTTCTGGAAAGGGGGGAGAATGGAAGACACCCGTTGAGGTGTCACTTCTGCCCTGGGGGCTCTCCAGGTGGACTTGCGCTGCCCGGCTAAACCTTTCTTTAGCATTGTTTGCAAGTGGGCCAGCAGGTTCTTTCTTTCTTTCTTTCTTTCTTTCTTTCTTTCTTTCTTTCTTTCTTTCTTTCTTTCTTTCTCTCTCTCTCTCTCTCTCTCTCTCTCTCTCTCTCTCTCTCTCTCTTTCCCTCTTTTCTTTTTCTTCCTTCCTCCCTTGCTTTTTTCCTTCCCCTCCCTCCCTCCCTCTTTCTTCTTTCTTTCTCTTTCTCTTTTTTCTTTTCCTCCCTTGCTTTTTTCTTCCCCTCCCTCCCTTCCTTTTTCTTTGTTTTCCTTTCTTCCTGCCTTGTTTTTCCCCTCCCTCTCTTCTTTCTTTCTTTCTTTCTTTCTTCTTTCTCTCTCTTCCTCCTTCCTTTCTTTCTCTTTTCCTTCCTTCCTCCCTTGCTTTTCTCCCTCCCTCTCTTCTTTCTTTCTTTCTTTCTTTCTTTCTCTCTCTCTCTTTCTTCCTTTCTTTCTTTCTTTCTTTCTTTCTTTCTCTTTTCCTTCCCTCCTCCCTTGCTTTTTTCCCTCCCTCTCTTCTTTCTTTCTTTCTTTCTTTCTTTTTCTCTCTCTCTCTCTTCCTTCCTTCCTTTCTCTTTTCCTTCCTTCCCCCCTTGCTTTTTTCCTTCCCCTCCCTCTCTCTCTTTCTTTCTTTCTTTCTTTCTTTCTTTCTTCTTTCTCTCTTTTCCTTCCTTGTTTCCTTTTCCTTTCCCCTTCTCTTCTCCTCTCCTCTCCTCTCCTCTCTTTTTTCTTTTCTTTCTGTCTAGAGGTGATCTTGACCTCTGTTTCCCATCTGTGACACAGTCTCCACTCTTATCAGCCCTCCCCCTTGCTGGATGGTTGTTCTTGTTGTCTAAAAACATTCAATTTTAAGAAGCTTACCATTGGATTTTCATTAAAAGACATAACAGCGGATAGGGGTTGGTGACAGTTTGTGTGTAAACTTTCAAAGGATTCTAAGCAGAACTATAAACCAAAAAGAAAAAGTCTAAATCTCAGTGACAGGTTTGGGGTTTTTTACTCAGTTGGGCTGGAGAGAGGCTGGAGAACGAGAAGGAATAACAGTAACATTATGAAATAATGTAATTGGATGCAGTATTCCAAGTGTAGCCTTACCAAAGCATTATAGAATAATAATAGGATAGGATAGGATAATAATAGGATAGGATAGAATAATAATAGGATAGGATAGAATAATAATAGGATAGGATAGAATAATAATAGGATAGGATAGAATAATAATAGGATAGGATAGAATAATAATAGGATAGGATAGAATAATAATAGGATAGGATTAGAATAGGATAGGTTAAGATAGGAGAATAGGATAGGATAGAATAATAGGATAGGATAATTATGGATAGGATAGGATTAGGATAGGTTAGGATAGGATAACAATAGGATAGGACAGGATAGGATAGAATAATAATAGAACAGGATAGACTAGAATGATAAGAGGATAGAGCTGGAAGGGACCTTGGAGGTCTTCTAGTCTAGCCCCCTGCTCAAGCAGGAGACCGTAGACCAGCTCAGACAAGGGGCTAATTTAACAACTGCAGTGACTCCCTTAGCGGTGGTTGCAAAAAAAGGGTGTAGAATGGGGCAGATCGCACTTCACAACTGTCTTGCTTTGTGACAAAAAAATTCGGCTCGATTGTGGTCATAATTGGAGGAGTCTCCATTCTTTCTGCCTTGCAGTCTGTGGCTGGCTCTTGAGCGCCCTGCCTTCCTGGGATCCCTGTGGGGAGCAAGTGGGAAGGGGCTGCTCTCTTTGGGGCTCTTTGGGGTGTGGAGATCCCAGGTTCCCCTGCTAGGGGGACAGGCTTGCACCATGGGCGGGTAGGTGGGTGGGTGCGTGTCCGGCTGTGTCCCGGCCCCTGTCTCTTTTGTCCACATTAGCTGCCTCCTGGTGACTAATTGCCCTGTCTCTGATGACCGCTGGGCCTCTTCCTGATGTATGGCTGTTATATTAAGGCTGGAAATGTGCTAAATGAGTCCCCTTTATTTTACATACATTGGCTGAAAAGTCGTAAATCAGTGCCAGGATTACCCCCAGCACCCACCCACTCGGCCCAAAGTTTGTTTAGAATAGGAATGGAATGGAATGGAATAGAATAGAATAGAATAGAATAGAATAGAATAGAATAGAATAGAATAGAAAAAGGAATAGAATAGAATAGAATAGAATAGAATAGAACAGAACAGAACAGAACAGAACAGAATAGAAAATATGGAATGGAATAGAATGGAATAGAATAGAATAGAATATAGAGTAGAGTAGAATAGAATAGAACAGAATAGGAAAAGAATAGGATAAGATAGGTCAGGATAGGATAATGATAGAATAGAATAGAATAATAAAGTCGAATAGAATAGAATAGAAGTAGGAAATAAGAATCTATAGAATGGAATGGAAATAAAAATTATAATATAGAATAGAGTGGAATGGAATAGAATAGAATAGAATAGAATAGAATAGAAGTAGGAAATAAGAATATGTAGAATGGAATGGAAATAAGAATTAGAATATAGAATAGAATATAGAATGGAATGGAATAGAATGGAATAGAATAGGATTGGATTGGATTCTATTGGATTGGGTCGGTTGAATTGGATTCTGTTGGATTGGGTTGGATTCAGTTTCATTGGATTGGATTCTGTTGGGTTAGAGTCTGTTGGGTTGGGTTGAAGTTGCTTAGTTTCCTTTAATTTTGGTTGGTGGTTGCCTGCCTCCCAGCGTTCTCCAGGCCTGGGTCTGGCTAGAAGTACCATTAAGAGCCGAGGTGGCGCAGCAGTTAGAGTGCAGTCCTGCAGGCCACTTTAGCTGACTGTGTTCAGCAGGTCAGCGGTTCGAATCTCACCGGCTCAAGGTTGACTCAGCCTTCCATCCTTCCGGGGTAGGTAAAAGGAGGACCCAGATTGTTGGGGGCAATGGAAATATATATATATATACATTGCTTACTGGTGTACACCGCTTGGAGAGTGCTTGCACTTAAAGCGGTATATAAGTCTCATAAAATAAAATAAATAAGGAAAGAGATGCTTCAATTCCATCTGTTGAAACTGCCCCGTTGGCACTTCTGAAGACGCCTGTGCCCAGCTGCACGCTCCATTTGCCGGCTCGCCGGCCTCCCCTGTTGCCACTTCCTACAGCTCCCCTAAGCCCTTTCCGTGCCATTCCCAGGCTGAGGTTTGCAGCCGTCAGGCCAAGGAACTCCCGGCTGGCCCAGGGCTGGCTGGGGAATTCTGGGAATTGGAGTCCGCGCATCTTCAAGTTGCCACGTGCTGTGCAACTCGACTGTTACCTAGGAGAAACATCTGGAGCTGGTGTCTGTGCAGATTCTCCCTCGTCCCGGGGTCCTAGTTGTCTCAGAGGTGCTTTTTCCTTCAAAAGACAATGGTTTTTCCCTTGAGGAACCAGAAGAACCACCATCGGAACGGAGGAAGCTTCTTGGAGGAGAAGCAAAACATTTTATTCTTCTTCGTCAAGGGAAAAACAGTCCAGGGGCCTCCGTGCCCAAGACTAGCAGGGCGATTTGAGTCTCTCTTGTGGTGCAGGGGTCTCTTCCCCACTGACAGAGAAGTTGGGGGGGGCTGTGTTGGGGCAAGGAGAGCCTCTCTGTGGTTAAATGGGGAGCCCCCCCCTTTCCAAGTCTATCTCACACACACACACACACACAATGCTGTTGATGTTGGTGCTGGACTAGAGATAGTGAGATAAGGGAGCATAAAAGGAAGAAAAAAGAGGAGGGGAGGTGGAGGAGGGGGCTGGGGAAGGGAAGGGAAGGGAAGGGAAGGGAAGGAAGGAAGGAAGGAAGGAAGGAAGGAAGGAAGGAAGGAAGGAAGGAAGGAAGGAAGGAAGGAGATGGATAGATCTCTTGGTAATTGGTCCAAAGTCATCCAGCCAGCTTTCATGCTGAAGATCTAGATGGTGGGTGGGTGGATGGATGGAGAGAGAGAGACGATAGATAGATAAATAGATAGATAGATAGATAGATAGATAGATAGATAGATAGATAGATAGATAGATAGATAGATAGATAGATAGATAGATAGATAGATAGATAGATAGATATGGATGGACGGATGATAGATAGATAGATAGATAGATAGATAGATAGATAGATAGATAGATAGATAGATAGATAGATAGATAGATAGATAGATAGATAGATAGATAGATAGATGGATGGATGGATGGATGGATAGATGGAAGATAGATATACGTATGTATCTATATATGTGTGTTTTCTGTATCTATATATGTGTGTTTACATATATATGGAGAGAGAGAGATACATACATACATACATACATAGAGAGACACAGAGAGAGAGATGGATGGAAGAAAGGAAAGAAGAAAAGGAAAAAAGAAAGGAAGAAAAAGGAAGGAAGGAAGGGCCCTAATCTAGGAGGGAGGAGGGCAGGGCCAACCTTCCCTCTCGCCAGCTGTGGTCAGGAGGGCCTGTACCACATCTGGAGGGAAAGAGGTGCGTTCATAAAGGATCCCAAAGAGGAGTCCTGGGTTCGAATGGCGGGCTTTGGGCCAGGAGGCTCCCCCTGTTTGCTGACCCCTTTTCTTTTCTCTCTCCTCCCCTCTCCTAGGAAAGCCCCTGCAGATCAAGCCCAGGCTGTGACGCCCCCTCCAGCCACGATCCAGGTCTGCCCACCCGGCCACCGAGCTTTGGGCCCGCTCACTGCCTCGCTCTTTCTCAGGGATCGGAGGTCCTCCCCGGCAACTACCTCAGAGCCAGGCCAGGCTGAAGCAGGGAGGGGGGGGGGGCAGCCAGGACCTTCCCCCCTCTGCCCCCCCAGCAAGGAGTGACACGTGCATCGGGATCTCTCGCCTGTCTCCAGCATCCCAAAGACCAATTTTGTGGGTTTTTTTCCCAACGGAGAGAAAGGAACGCCCCATTTTCCCAGTCTGCAAATCCAGCTGCCGGGGCTGCATTTTGCTTTCTTCGGCTGGATGAGGCTCCACCAGGAGACCCTCACTCACTCCTCAGCCCTCCCTCCCCATCCTGAGGGTGCCTCCCCTTCAGCTGCCCTGGCCCATCCTTTGCTTCCCTTTCCCCGCACCGGTGATGGGTGTATTCAGTAGCACAACCCAAGGGGAGACGGTGTAGCATCCCAGCAACTTTGTGATGGGCTGACCTTTGTCCCGGAAAGAAATGTAGATTTGTAGAAACGTGACTCTGATTTTCTCTCTCTCTCTCTCTCTCTCTCTCTCTCTCTCTCTCTCTCTCTCTCTCTCTCTCTCTCTCTCTCTCTCTCTTTCTTTCTGCTCTGGGAGAAAAAAAATAATCTTCTTTACCAGCTTTCTTTAACAGTTCGCGCGCAGCTTTGGGACTCCCAACTGTTTGTAAAGTAGACTTGTCTGGATGCTTTTAATACACAAATGCAAGCAAAATGTTTCCATTGGTTGACGCGGGTGGTCATTTCTTACTTACGCGTCCGGTTCCTCACGGTGAAGCTTTTCGTGGTTCGCTGGATTGTTAGCGCTTCCTTAACCTGCTGTCGGAGCTCCCGTCTTCTTCCCGGGGATGAGCGAGTTGGGTGCGAATTATAAAGCCTTGGTGAGACCCCACTTGGAATACGGCATCCAGTTTTGGTCACCACGATGTAAAAAAGAGGTTGAGACTCTTATAAAGGGTGCAGAGAAGAGCAACAAAGATGATCAGGAGACCGGAAGCTAAAACATATAAGGAACGGTGGCTGGAATTGGGGATGTCTAGTTTACACTGTGAGAGGGATCTTGGGGTCCTAGTGGACCATCCCTTAAATAGGAGCCAGCGTTGTGCTGCAGCTGCCAAAAAAGCCAACACAGTGCTGGGCTGCATTAACAGAGGGATAGAATCAAGATCAGGTGAAGTATTAATACCACTCTACAAGGCCTTGGTAAGGCCACACTTGGAATACGGCATCAGTTTTGGTCACCACGATGTAAAAAAGAGGTTGAGACTCTAGAAAGAGGGCAGAGAAGAGCAACAAAGATGATCAGGAGACTGGAGGCTATAAGGAAAGATTGATGGAATTGGGTATGTTTAGTTTAAACCAGTGGTTCTCAACCTGTGGGTCGGGACCCCATTTGGGGTCAAACGACCATTTCACAGGGGTCGCCAAACAACGCACTCCGCCATTTCCCCCCCCCTTTTCCTTAGCGGTGCTACTCCCTTTTATTCTATTGGCTTTTGAAAGCCAATAGAATAGGCTCTCTTGAACAGAGTCTAATTCGATTGGCTTTCCAAAGCCAATAGGAATGGTCCAGGCTGTCTCTGCCCTGCTGAGCCCGCCAAAAGTCCCATTCTGCCAACGATGCTGCACCAGTTGAGTAGTCCTTGACTTACGACCGGTTGAGTAGTCCTCGACTTACGACCGGTTGGAGTCGCGGCATTAAAAAGGTTGAGAACCACTTGTTTAAATGAAGAGAAGGACGAGGGGGGGGGACATGATAGCAGCGTTCCAATATCTCAGGGGCTGCCCCAAAGAAGAGGGAGTCAAGCTATCCTCCAAAGCGTCTGAAGGCAGGACAAGAAGCAACGGGTGGAAACTAATCAAGGAGAGACGCAACCTAGAACTAAGGAGAAACTTCCTGACAGGGAGAACAATGAACCCGTGGAACAACTTGGGAAGATTCTTCTTAGGGACACTGGGGAAAAAAATGAAAAAGAAACAAAAAACCCAAGAAGCTAGTGTGGCTCTTATGTCGTGGCCGCTCTCTGAGTTTGGCTGTTTTCTTGCAGATGTTTCATGACCCAACTAAGGAACATCATCCATGCTAGAAGGGAGGGGGGTTGTGGAGAGGAGGAGGACTGTGGGGTCCTTGGGGTTCTGAGCTTGGGCTGGGGTTTTTCTTTTTGCAGACCTTTCATGTACCATTTAGGCAACACCATCAGCGCTAGAGGGGGGGGGTCTGTGGAGGGGAGGAGGAGGACAACCAGGAGGACTCGGGTCCTTGGCGCTCTGCCTGTTTCCTTGCAGACATTTCATGTACCCATTAGGCAACATCATCAGTCTTGGAAAGGAATGAAAGAGGAGGAGGAGGAAGAAAAGAAAAGGAAGAGGAGGAGGAGAAGAAAGAAGAAAAAGAAAGAAAGAAAGAAGAAGAAGAAGAGGAAGACAGATTGTGCCAAGACTAGAAACATTTCAAGTGCTCAATCCAGCAAATGCAAAGGAAGGAGAAAGAAGAAGAAGAAGGAAGAAGAAGAAGAAGAAGAAGAAGAAGAAGAAGAAGAGGAAGAAGAGGAAGAAGAGGAAGAAGAGGAAGACAGATTGTGCCAAGACTAGAAACATTTCAAGTGCTCAATCCAGCAAATGCAAAGGAAGGAGAAAGAAGAAGAAGAAGGAAGAAGAAGGAAGAAGAAGAAGAAGAAGAAGAAGAAGAAGAAGAAGAAGAAGAAGAAGAAGAAGAAGAAGAAGAAGAAGAAGAAGAAGAAGAAGAAGAAGAAGAAGAAGAAGAAGAAGAAGAAGAAGAAGAAGAAGAATAATACAGATTGTGCCACGACTGGAAACATTGAAAGTGCTCAATCCAGCAAATGCAAAGGAAGAAGGAAGAGGAGAAGAAGAAGAAGAAGAAGTGTTCCTGAAGGTCTTCTAGTCCAACCCCCTGCTCAGGCAGGAGACCCTCTACACCCCTGTTCTAGACAAGGTTCTAGACACCCTGTTCTGAAACCCGACTGCTCCATCCCTGGAGGTTTGAAGAAGAGATTGGATTCATGGAGGAGAAGCGGAGGAGGAGGAGGAGGAGGAGGAGAACAAGATTTGTGGAGGGGAGGAGGAAGAGGAAGGAGGACTCCGGGGGTCCCTGGTGCTCTCTGAGCTGGGCAGTTTTCTTGCAGACGTTTCATGACCCAACTAGGGAACGCCATCAGACTGAGCAAGGAATGCTTTCCTAGATGGAGCAGAAGGTGAAGAACCTAGCTGACCTTCCATGACCCAACTGGGTCCCATCACGAGTGGCCTTCACTCCGTGAGGCAAAGGATGCTTTTGCAAGGACACACGGGTGTGCGTGTTGTGTGTGTGTGTGTGTGTGTCCCACCATCCTCCCCTCTCTGGATCAAGCCTTCAGGAGGACCCCCCCCCCGCCCCACCGACCTGGCTGGGGCTGCCCCATCCTTTTCCCTGCAATCAGCAGCCAAAGGCCTCGTTCTCCCCCCCCCCCTTCCGCCCCATTCCCTGCTCCTGCCGGTGATCCAGCTCTGCTCGTCCCACAGAGCAACGGAGCTAATAAAAGATTGATTGGGGAGAGAGCCACAATCTGCCAAGGTCGGCAGTTCCGGGCCCAACACGCCCCTCTCGTCCAGCGGGATGGAGTGGGCGGCGAGAGGGCGATTAGCAGCCCCCCCCCTTTGATTGGGCTGCTTTTATTTCTCCCTCTCCGTGGCTTTATTCTCCGTGATTTAATGTCCGTGTCTGCCGGCATTCCCGACAGAGCTGAGCAGTGCTGGCCGGGCAAAGATTCTCTCCGGCTGCTTTGCTTCTTCTTCTTCTTCTTCTTCTTCTTCTTCTTCTTCTTCTTCTTCTTCTTCTTCTTCTTCTTCTTCTTCTTCTTCTTCTTCTTCTTCTTCTTCTTCTTCTTCTTCTTCTTCTTCTTCTTCTTCTTCTTCTTTCTTCTTCTTCTTTCTTCTTCTTCTTCTTTCTTCTTCTTCTTCTTCTTCTTCTTCTTCTTCTTCTTCTTCTTCTTCTTCTTCTTCTTCTTCTTCTTCTCCTCCTCCTCCTCCTCCTCCTCCTCCTCCTCCTCCTCCTCCTCCTCCTCCTCCTCCTCCTCTCTTCTTCTTTTCCTCCTCCTCCCTTCTTCTTCTCCTCCTCCTCCCTTCTTCTCCTCCTCCTCTCTTCTTCTTCTCCTCCTCCTCCCTTCTTCTTCTTCTTCTTCTTCTCCTCCTCCTCTCTTCTTCTTCCTCCTTCTTCTCCTCCTCCTCCTCCTCCTTCTTCTCCTCCTCCTTCTCCTCTCTTCTTCTTCTCCTCCTCCTCCCTTCTTCTTCTTCTCCTCCTCCTCCTCCTTCTTCTCCTCCTCCTTCTCCTCTCTTCTTCTTCTCCTCCTCCTCCCTTCTTCTTCTTCTCCTCCTCCTCCTCCTCCCTTCTTCTTCTCCTCCTCCCCCCTCCTCCTCCTCCTCCTCCTCCTCCTTCTTCTTCTTCTTCTTCTAAACTTGCTTTGTGCAGAGAGAAAGGGAAGCCCGGCAGATTCAAGAGAGGCCAACCCACCAACTCGGCCCCTCTGGCTTCCCAGATGTTGGCCCCTCGGCCCTGGCTTCCCAGGAGAACACCCTGAAGGGCCCTATACCAGTGGTTCTCAACCTGTGGGTCGCGACCCCATTTGGGGTCGAACGACCCTTTCACAGGGGTCCCCAAACAACGCAGTCCGCCATTCCCCCCCCCCCCTTTTCCTTAGCTGTGCTCCTCCCTTTTATTCTATTGGCTTTTGAAAGCCAATAGAATATACTCTCTTGAATAAAGTCTAATTCTATTGGCTTTCCAAAGCCAATAGGAATTGTCCAGGCTGTCTCTGCCCTGCTGAGCCCGCCAAAAGTCCCATTCTGCAAACGGTGCTGCACCAGTTGAGTAGTCCTCGACTTACGACCGGTTGAGTAGTCCTCGACTTACAACCGGTTGGGGGTCGCAGCATTAAAAAGGTTGAGAACCACTGCTCTAGCTGAATGTGGGGAGGGGGGAGGAATTGCCCTCTGCGGAGAAGAGCAGGCTGGGTCTCATCCAACCCGGCCTTCTGTTCCAGGAGATGACCGTCCAGGTGGTTCTTCCTGGGGTGAAGAGGATGATGAAGCTGGATGCGATGGCGTCTGATTCAGGATTTCTCCAAGGCAATTGCCCTTTGGGGGTCCTTGGTGCTCTCTGAGCTGGGTGGTTTTCTTGCAGACGTTTCATGACCCAGCTAGGGGACATTATCTGTGCTAGAAGGGAGTAGAGTTTGTGGGGAGGAGGAGGAGGAGGAGGAGGAGGAGGAGGAGGAGGAGGAAGATTGTGGGGTCCTTGGTGATCTCCGGGCTTGGTTGCCTTCTTGCAGATGTTTCATGACCCAACTAGGTAACATCATCAGTAATCTTCCTTCTTCCTTTCCAACTTCCCTTCCTCCCATCTTCCTCACTCCTTCCTTCCTTCCTTCCTTCCTTCCTTCCTTCCTTCCTTCCTTCCTTCCTTCCTTCCTTCCTTCCTTCCTTCCTTCCTCCTTGGTGCTCTCTGAGCTTGGTGGTTTCCTTGCAGACGTTTCATGACCCAGCTAGGGGACATTATCTGTGCTAGAAGGGAGTAGAGTTTGTGGGGAGGAGGAGGAGGAGGAGAAAAAAGAGGAGGACTGTGGGGTCCTTGGTGCTCTCTGAGCTGGGTGGTTTTCTTGCAGACGTTTCATGGCCCAACTAGATAACATCATCAGTCCTAGAAGGGAGGAGGAGGAGGAGGAAGAA